GAGCTTCGCGCCTCGCTTCCGCATTACAAGGAGTTTTCGGGGACGCCGAAGATATTAGGATCACGTCCGACGACGCAGCGACGAAGCAACGGCATTTGTATTTGGTTCATCTGTTTCATTTTTATTCATTGCAGGTGGATCAGGTATATCGAAAAGTGTTGGTATGGCGTTTGGTTTTAATTTTCGCCAATTATCTGCTCGACCAGTCTCAAACCGTGATTCTTCAAAATGTTTCTGAAATAAAAAACTGCTTATAAGATAAATGTTCTTATTGATTACAGTTATTCATATTTATGTAATTTCAAACGGTGACAAATCTAAACTACACTTAAAAAACGATCCATAATTTTAAACAAACAGAAAAAGCTACGTAAATTGGAAATTTAAAAGAATAAACTTACTTCACAGAGGCGCGATGATTTGATTGGTGTCCAAGACTCTCTGCGGAGATTACGTATCCATTGCTGTCGACGAACATCATTCGCAGGAAATGCAAATAGTCGAACACCTTTTTCTGTTCTATTGGTACAATTGACCGCAACGTAGCAAGGCATTTTGTATCTTTTTTTTGTTCACAGTCGGATAATCAAAATACACGTAAACACAGAGTTCGAGCAGCTTAGAAACCATAACCTATTCATCATAAACTTCTCAGCTCAGCGACAGAGCAGTGTTCCGATTAGGGACCGGTTGTATGCGCATGTGCGGCAATACGGCGTCAGTACAGTGTCTCATACAAGTTAAACAAGGCACCATTACCCCCCTACATTTAAAATATTTCAAAATTTTTTGAAATTGATTGAAATTTTCTACTTTTTGGTTTTTTAGCTGCTGGCTCCGTAGATTCCATGCTTGTAAATAAATAAATCTTACCTTATTTGTAGTCACCTAACCTCCTCATGTCAAAACGTTTTGCCATACGGTCAACACACAACATATAACGGCATTGGATCTCCATTACCGCACATGCGCAGAGCTGCACATGCGCATACAACCGGTCCCTAATTGGAACACTGCGACAGAGGCGAGAGGGCAAGAAGTGGGGGAATGGAACAAAAATGGCGGAGACGTGAGCAGACGTGAGAATACCTACATCTTTAGTGCTCTACTGCTACGCGATTACTAGGCGCGCGATGAAGCGTTGGGAGGAGCCAAGATCTATAGAGAGAAGGTTACCTCAGTAAAGGCGTAATCACACTATAGGTTGCGAGCTCGATTGCGATTGAGGTTACAATTAACAGTTTTACAAGGGGAGACTACGACGTGATACCAATCGATTTTGTCGAAACTCCGTGTATCGATAGAGTATCATGTCAAGTGTTTCAGGGTAAACGGATAAGACGCAATTCTCAAGCATTCGCGAAAAAATCGAGATTAAAGAATCCCAAGCGCTATATTAACACATGGCGTAGAGCATAAAATCGAAGAGCGCGTAGCTCAGCGATTAAGTACTAGACTCGTAACGGCAACGTTGCTGGTTCGAATCTCGTATTTTAATTTTTTTTTTTTTTTTTT